GCATTTTCAACAAGCCAAGAATGTTATGATTAATACTAAAGCATTAAATAATCACGGGGGGGATCGGAAAAGGCAATTTAAGTGCAATGCATTGTGGGATACGGTACAAATGCAGTTCACCGCTGGGTTGTTTTAACCCAATTTTGGGTCAAATATGAACAAATTCAAACATTGGGTTAAAAAAATGTTCTGTAAAAATGTAACCCAATGGCTGGGTTTGTCCATATTTGACCCAAAATCAGGTTAAAACAACCCAGCATTTTTTTAGAGTGTATGCTCGGTTCAATACTGCACACTTTAGGGGTGGTTTGAGAGTAGTATGCTATTCTAAAAATAGTCTCTTAACTCGGAAAATATGAGCCTGTTTTTCTTGATCAAAGCATTTGAAGTTAATATCGGATCACATTACCTTTGGGAAAGTCATCATCACTAAAGTGTTGGTGGTCTTTTTAAATGATTTGTGTCTGAGGATTGCATCACAACCCAGTTAACTTCCAATGCCACCAACATCTCGCGCATTCCACCGGCCGTTTTCATCCGAGTCGAGTAAACCTGCTCCGGTAAATGAGTCCAGCTTTAGATCTGGTGTTCATGATTTGAGAAGGTTGACCTCATGTGGGTGAGGTGTGTGTGTGTATCTTTGGTTGACTGAATGGCCTTTGCCAGCGGAGCCAGTGTGTTCCTCCTCTTGTTCCACTAATCGATCAGCAGATCGCATTAACAAGGGCTCTGAAGTGAATGGACACGGTGGTGCTGCCCCACCTCCCCAACCCCTCACCCCTGCCGCCCCTCCCTGTGTCATCAGTCTTGTCCTACAAGATGCCTCACACCCGGCAATGGCATGGGAGAGTGACTGCGTCAGCCCGTGGAAAGAAAGCCCTCGCTCCCTCTCTCGTTCCACCAATGGAAGAGAGAGGAAGACAACAAAGTGGGGGATTCTTCACATAGCTTCCCATTTTCATGCACTGCTGCCAGTGGAGAATCAAGTGTGTCCCCCTCCTCTGGCACCTTGCCAGATATCTCATGGCTCCCCCAACCTTTTATCTGCATTCAAAGGTAGCCCTATACCTTCCATTCATCAAAGGAGTTCAAATGTGACCACCTTGCAACCCAATGCCATTTTTTTTTCAAATTTCTCATTGGCTGGGGGCAAAAAGAAAAGACCAACATGCCCTTTGGAAAGCCGTCAGGCCCAGACGCTCTTTGAAGCGGTGAAAAGGCTGAAAAGCAGCTGAAACAATTGGGTATTAAATTAAATATCACAAGTTGAACATGATTGTGAATGTAAACGTTCGTTTCCTGTGGACGTGAGGCTACGTGAACGTGTTTGACTTCTCAACTCAATCAAACAATATATTTCCAATTGCATAGATAATAATCTAATCTTAGATAGGTTACACTCGAGTAGGGTTGGGTATCGTTTGAATTTGAACGATTCTGATTCCGATTCCGATTCCTTGTTTTGATTCCGGTTCCTAACGATTCTCGATTCCGATTCTTTTAAGAGGCAGGGTCAAAAAAGTTTAGCTAACCTTGCTAACCAACAGTCTTTCTGAAGGATATACTCCTGTAAAAATACTCCTTTTGTCACAAATTTTGCATTTTGCCGAGATTTCGTTATTTTTAGAAAAGTGAAGCCACACTTTGGATCGCCGACGTAAGGTACTCATGTTCGCTCTCGCGTGGTTATGCCAACACTTCCGGTAGACGCTTCTTCGTTGGTGTTGTTCAGCGGTTTCTTCTTCCGCTCGGCGGACTGTGAATATCGAAACTAGGAATCGAAATTTTAACTTTTGAACGATCCTGGGAAAAACGAAAAGTTAGTCTCGGTTCCAATCGATACTCGATTCTCGATACCCAACCCTACTCACGAGATATTTTTTTGGGGGGTATGAGAAAGATTTTTTTCATCAGATCTTTTATCACTTATGACAGCTTGAGTATGCTTGTCACATGATTTGCTTCAAATTTTTTTAGATCAATTAGTCCGAAATCCAACATGGCTGCCAGTGGTGCAGAACATTCAGATATTTAGATAAGTAAATATATATTAAACTTACTTTTCTTCTGGAAAAAAAAAACAATACTGCCAACATTAATTGTGAACATTGTCTTAAGGAGAAAACTAAGTTGTTCATGTTGTTATTTAGCAGGTTTTGAATGTATGTGTCCCCCGAGACACAGTGCCTGTTTAGGGTATAAAAAATGGATTAAACTAGCTCTTTTTAAAATGCACTATTCAAGCTAAAATGATTGTAATTCAAGATTTCTTTGGAATATAGACCTAATTTAGACCTGAAATTAAAATATGAAAAAGTTTAAAACTTACATTAATTTAAATATACTGTACTATTTTTTTTATAAAATATGTATTTTACAAAATATTTTTCCTATAAAATTACTATAATCAAAGCCATATATTTAACCAAGTTGTGTTCCAAATTTGAAGTTGATATCACAAAAATTGAGATTTTGTTTAGGCGTAGAACCAAAAATAGCCACCGGGTGACTTATTCCATTGAATTCAATTGTATGCATTCTGCCATAACAAATTAATAAACTTCTGTCACTTCTGTCACAAAATATGAAACCTTGAGGCTCAGACCTTTTTGATAATATGGGTTTTGATTATAAATTATGAAACAAGACGATGCCCAAAAGGGGAGGAGCCCATTAAAAGAATTTAGAGTACCGTTTGTATGGTAACGCAACGTCCAATTTCAAAACAGGTTTCGTAGGCTGAATCTTAAGTTCGTAAGCTTTCCAATGATATATAATTTGTTAACAGGCCAGGTGAAGAAGGGTATATAATTGTTTTAAACATACAGTGGCAGTAACAGCTTTTTTACACCCTAATCAGGCAACTTATCTCAGGAGACACAATTCATAAAATCCTAAATATATCAAATTTAAAAAAAAAATCTTTTGGATTTGTTTTATTTAAGTCCAGATTGTATAAAAAATGAAATGAAATAATTTTTTGCTTAGCATTTTCCACTCTTGCCTCTAGGGTTAACCCAATTTTGGGTCAAATATGGACAAACTCAAACAACGGGTTAAAAATGTAATTTAAAAATGTAACCCAATGGCTGGGTTTGTCCATATTTGACACAAAATTGAGTTAATACAACCCAACATTTTTTAGAGTGTATAAGGCTTAAAAAAAATTGGGTTATGACCCAATTATATTTAATTGGGTTATATACCCTAATATTTAAAAAAAAAAAAAAGGTTTAAATGGTTTTATTTGTTCAAAGAGGTGTTTTCAAAAATGATGACACTGTTCCCAATAGGCTTTAATAAGCACAAATGCATGTCAATTGTGATTCAACAAGTTCAAATGTAACCCTCATGTTCTGTTGAGATTGGATTTACTTTCTGTTTGGGTCTCAGTGACCCACTAAAAAATAAAATTAGTAATTTTGACATCCCCTGTTCTAATCAAACCATCATAAACATTACTGAGGCTTCAACTCTCCATTGAACCTGTTTAACATGGTTTTTGACCACAACAACCAAATACTATTGGAAAAGCCATACAGAATGCAAAAATGCATATTTCATGTTTTTGTTTAAAGCAAATGGGCAATTTTTTTTTGATGATTTTATATTCCAAATTTGTTTAGTCAACCTGCTTCTTCAATGTTGAGTATATCTGTTTAGCTAGTCTTACACCCTGAACACAAAACGAGGGTTAAGAGAAGTAATGAAGCAAGAGAAAGCGATGGAGGAAGCGAGGAAGAATGAGCGAGTGATGTAGCAGCTGATCGGACAGCTGATAATGTAGATGCTCTTTGATGGCAGCGGCCACCAGTTCACCCGCTGCACGTGTGAAGTGGGCCGTTTCATTCTGAGTGCACTTGTTCAGCATATTGTTTTAGGAAGTTGACACATTGATCTTTGGAGCTACCCGTTGGATTGAGAGCTTTTTTCCCGGAAACTCTTTGAGGGTGCTTTACACACACAATAGGTGGTAATTAATAAAATCCTAATGTTTTCACAACAATTGCATGCTGGTACTTTGTTCCCCACTCGCCCTATAACCGCTGCGATATCGAGCGAGTCTTCTTCCTGTCCTGTGCGTTAAAGGAGTAGTTCACTTTAAAAAAAAAACTTTTGCTGATAATTTACTCACCCCCATGTCATCCAAGATGTCCATGTCTTTCTTTCTTCAGTCAAAAAGAAATTAAGGTTTTTGATGAAAACATTCCAGGATTTTCTCCATATAATGGACTTCAATGGGAACCAAACGGTTCAAGGTCCGAATGAGAGTTTCAGTGCAGCTTCAAAGGGCTTTAAACGATTCCAGACGATGAATAAGGGTCTTATCAAGCGAAACGATGAACAAATCTTTTTTCGTGTCATTTGGTTCATTCAACAAATGAAATGAACGAGTTGACTCTGGAAAAGATTCGTTCATTTTGATAAACGAGTTCGAACAGGAGAGTCACGAACACGCATCACAGAACAGAGCAAGGCGAGCATTTGAGCTTATAAAACTTAAACTTTGTTTTTTTTTTTTTTTTTTTTTTTTAAATGAGCGATCGTTTCGCTTGATAAGACCCTTATTCATCATCTGGAATCGTTTGAACAGTTTGCAGTTGTGTTATGAGAATAAGTGCACATAAAAAAATCAATAAATCAATCAATACTGAGTGAAGGCCCTGATGTACTCATAGCAAAGTGAATTTTTGTTTGTCGCTTAGGGGTAAAAAGTAGTTTGAAATATGTAAGGAGCGATATACTGTTATCAAAAACCCCAACGCCACCCACATTGATGAGAGCGAATATGTAAATATGTGCTGCACGTAAATAAACACACAATAAAAATAACAGCGGTGAGAAAAAAAGCATCTGATCATAGCAAAGTGGATGCTTGCACCAGCTCTGCAATTCTTATTTAAATAGCTCTTTATATAATAGATTGCTTAAAAATCAAGAAACTTACAATATTTAATATGAAAAAAGCAGCTCTCAAGTGTTTATGATTTTACTTACAGACGTCTGACCTCAGCTGTCTAAACCGAAGAAATGAACCATGCCAAATAAGGCGGAGCCTCAAAGCCACACCCACCTCCATAATCGCCACGGATCAAATCGAAGATGTTGACCAACCTGCGAACATTTCCGGTAAGTTCACTTTGGCAAGCTGTTTCGAACATAGATATCTATATAAAGGCTAGATGTCTCACTGCGGAGTATTTATCGTCATCACCGGCGGCCATCTTGTCACAGACAGGCTTTCTGGCGGGCTCTGTGGTATCTGATGTAAGAAATACTCTTATCTCGTTGAAATCTTGACGGATTTACAAACGGTTTGGTTTCTTACAAACGTCATTAATGTGGCGATAATTATCTGGATGATTATTTATTTATACACTTATTATTCATAAGTATGCAGTATTATAACTACATCTCTGCCGTTTATAACAAACCAGACCGTTTGAAAATCGCTAGAAAATTGAGCAAGTTATGGTTATTTAAAAAGTACATGCACCATTAAAGCGATGTTACCAGTGAGCGAGCTGCCTGTGACAAGATGGCCGCCAGGTGCTGACGTCGACCTCCATTGGCCAGCAGCGCGGACGAGATATCTAGCCTTTATATAGATATCTATGGTTTCGAACTCCTGAAACGAACACCAAACCCGAAATGACGTCAAACCAGTTTGTTCGTCGTTTTTGCTTTGGACCTTTAGTATCAGTAATGTGGGAAATAAAGATTTAGTAGCATTGTGGCTAGTTTTGGGCATGTCCACACAAAAAAAAAAAAAATGCTGGGTTGTTTTAACCCAAATTTGGGTCAAATATGGACAAAAGCGAATGTTGGGTTAAAAATGCAATTGGAAAATATACAGCTGAAAGTGAACTTTGAAGTTACATTTTTAACCCAACATTTGGGTTTGTCCATATTTGACCCAAATTTGGGTTACAACAACCCAGCATTGTTTATACACAACAAAAAAATGTATGTGAGCATCAGAGGAATAAAGGACTGAATATAAGTCAATTGAAATCTGTGTGTGTGTGTGTGTGTGTGTTGTGCAGCTGTGAGGATTCATACTGTAGTAAATAAGAGCTCTCAGGTGGCACATCAGATGGCCTCTATAACACCTGCTCTTCAAAGCTCAGTCAACTTCTTCACCTCCTTTTAATCTGAACTTGACTCGTGCCGCCAAAGTACACCAGACATCCATGATCCACTTGTATGTGTGGTTCAAGTAAACCCTACGTTATGGGGACAAAATGTCCCAACAAAGATGGCAATATCCAAAATCCTCCTCCATGAGGAAAACAGCATATAAATCATACTTTGATGGGTTTTTTATGTTTGTTTGTTTGTTTGTTTGTTTACAGATTAAAATAACCCTGTTACAGCACATTAGAAATCTATATCACTAAAATGGATATGCTTTATCTAATCAAAAAAAAAAAAAAATTGGTAACAGATTACAAGCAATATTATTAATTAAATGTAACAAATTAGAATTGAGTAATAATTAATCAAATTAATTCCTTACAACAACAACCAAAAAAACATCCATTTAAGTCACCATTATGGTGATCAGTGTTTGTTTTAAAATGCCGGTTTTCTCCTTCAGTGATTCTGCTTGTTAACATCAGGTGTCTTCAGTGTTGGCAATATAAAGAATTAATCTTTGACGTCTGTCTGTTAGTGAGATATTTTTGTTAACTTTTTGGTGTAAACTTTACTCATTTTAAATGGTTAACTTTTAAAGAAAATTTTGATTAATTATTACTCAATTGTAATTTGTTAAATTTGATTAATAATATTGCTTGTAATCTGTTGCCACAGTTCTATTAATTATATAAAGCATATTCATTTTTACAGTGAACGCAATCATGTAATCAATAAAAAATGTACTAGTCCGATTACTGAGTATTTTAAAACGTAATGAAATTAATTACAAGCATCTAAATACAAGAATCTGAGGTAACGCTTTAGATTACAGCCCGGAAAGTACTGTGTACAATGTAAAAATTAATATGCTTTATCTAATCAATAGAATTGTGGCAACAGATTACAAGCAATATTATTAATTAAATTTAACAAATTAGAATTGAGTAATAATTAATCAAATTAATTCCTTAAAAGTTAACCATTTAAAATGAGTAAAACTTACAACAACAACCAAAAAAACATCCATTTAAGTCACCATTGTGGTGATCAGTGTTTGTTTTAAAATGCCGGTTTTCTCCTTCAGTGATTCTGCTTGTTAACATCAGGTGTCTTCAATGTTGGCAATATAAAATAAAGAGTTCTTAATTAATCTTTGACGTCTGTCTGTTGGTGAGATATTTTTTTTTGTTTTGTTTTTTGGTGTAAACTTTACTCTTTAACTTTAATGGTTAACTTTTAAGGAATATTTACTCAATTCTGATTTGTTAAATTTAATTAATAATATTGCTTGTAATCTGTTGCCACAGTTCAATTAATTATATAAAGCATATTCATTTTTACAGTGTTCAGTGTGCCTTTATAATGAAGAAAATAGCACTGTTTCCTTAAAATTGCCTGCATACTGTATCTTCATGGTCTGATCTGGAATCTGCTGAGCAACATTTGCCTTTAACTTTCTCATGTCAGTCCATAGCAGCTTTAAATGTATTTACGGCAGAAACAGCAGGAATAAGCCCGGGGTCTTTTGTCATGCACGCTGCCCATCTCCCCCTGCCAATCACCCCGAAAGGAGGAGAAACACAGAGACAGAGAGAGGATGAGGCGGGCCTGCGGTGCCAGACAGGTCCAGCAGTGGCGATGTGGATCCAGCTGGTAATGAGGTGGCAAATTGCTGCGTTAAACCCCGACGAGAGAGACCCTTTGGTCAGTCAATTAAAGAAAGGAGAAGCCCCTGAGGGCCTGACCTGGGACGGTTCCCCATACGTCTCCTTCTGTCCGGAGTCGGCAACAATGCCGAACAATTTTTATTGATCACCCTGGAAGACTTTTCACTGACTTGTCATTTCCTTGAAGCATTTGAAGAATTGTTGCCCTCTTTTTATGGGACAGATGTGTGGACAACACTGTCAACTCTACAGACTGAGCACGAAATTCCACACATCGGCTCTATAAAGAGGGTGCGAGGTCATTAATCATTCACACCCAATTAAAAAACTGATCTTCCATGATCACTCTAAACAAAACTGGCTGTATATTTCTACTTCACTGTAGACTTGGTCAGAAGAATGCCTCGTATAACCTGGCAAACTACTAGAAAGTGACCCACAACGCATGATTCAAACATTTGAATGCAAACCACAGACCCTGCTTAATCATAAAAAGGCTTTATGATGCCCAAACCGTGTTATTATCGCATTACTCCAGACGTCCCCTCAAATGCTCAATCAACGGCAATTGCATCGTGCACGCACAATAAACAAGTCAGCCTTGCAATTAGCGCAACACACCGTGGTTAAGGAATACACACATTTAACAGCTAAAACAAAGCCAGGGCTATGTGTTTTGTGTATTGTGAGCTCACCCAAGGCACTTGAATCTTTCATTATGTGATTAAGGGGCCTGCCTTTATCCCTCTTCAATTGAGTTGTCTCTTTCATTCTGGAGGCCTAATTGAAGTCAGAGTGATTTAAGCAGGTTTAACAAGGTCACAATTTAACGTTGTAGGTTTGCGTCCCTACGTAAGAACATAAGGGCGCAAGCTGTGCTTGTGACGACCTGGGTATGAATTTCTGGTAAAGCGTTGGCCCCCACCATCATTCATCTGGTTTCTTGTAAAACTGCATTTTCCTAATTGTAAGCAGACATTGTGTAAGCCAGAGTGTCAGGCATACTTTTGCACGATCGCGAATCATAATTGCGGTTGGAGAGCAGCGAAATATTTACAAGGACGACTTTCAGAAACGCTTTCATTTGGAATAAGCAAACCCTTCATAGAGGCTTCACGGACTAACCTGATCCCAGTCGCCTTTTATTTAGGCGGAGGGCGGCAAATCCGTGTGGGCTGGAGCAGAGGTGGCCAACTCCTGCCTCTTCTGATTTAAAAAATGTTGTCATTAAGAATAGAGGACTCCCTAATTGTTATTATCTCTCAATGGGGCCATTAAAGCAGGAGAAATCAAAGGGGTCGGGCGCTGGGGGAATGCAAGGTGCTCACATCAATGGGAGCGCGTTCGGCGCCTGAAGAGGTGGGCGCAAAAGGGGCACCCTATGATGTCACTCAGCCTCCAGTGAGCTTTCTCATGGGAAAAGTAACACTTCGCTCGGCTCGCCATAAAAGAGGAGAGCGAGCCATAACAGTAACAAGCGCAACCGGTGTGGCCGTTTGATGTGAACATGTTATCTGTCCCCTTGGCTTTTTTGTTTTCCATTCAGAGCATAAACGTGATCATTGAAGTGGTCCGCTCCATCTTCTCCGGGCACAAAAGTCTTTCACTAATTGCTGCCACATCAAATAAGTAGGAACAAGAAGGAATGGGACAAAAAAAAGCGAAGCTGGTTGGACTTTTTTGTGATCTCTCCTCCTCAGAGATTGCGCTGGCGGTTCGAGGAGGTGGTGGAGGGCAGCCGAAGGGTAGGGGGTGGTTATCGCACAGGAAAGACCTCTTCACAGATTAGTTCTGCATCGGCAGCCGTTCGCTATTCGATTCGGGAGCGACCAATCCAGTGGCTGCCCTCTCATTGTCTTCCTGCGACGAGCAGGAACAGTGGCCCGCGAGCCGGGGGAACAAAAGCTAGGACCGACGGAACCCCGTGTGTTTTCAAAGTGTAACTCCTCTCCTTGCCGTCACGGCCCAGTGATATGAGTGTCTTGGGGCCCTGGCCCGCACCACACAGAGCAAGAAAAAGCTGTCAATTCAGGGGCCCTTTCAAAGGCGCATCACTTTTGTGCAAACAGGCCCTGAAAGTCACAGTCCATATACTTCCCAAAGCATGCTCCCAGTTAAAGAGCCATTGACTATCTTTGGATCAAATGTGATTTGTCTCGACCCCCCCCCCTCTCCCCACCCTCCACCTCTTTCTCCTTCTCTTTTTGACCCTCGGCATTCTTGTTTCCCAATTGTGTCGTCTTTGTTGAGGTTCTGTTGGAAGTGGAGATTGATGGGGGAAGGGGAGAAGGAGCCATCCCTGGCCAGGAAACTGGTTGCGATCGCCATTCTGGATCTCTCATTGGATCTTGTCAAGGTCACGACCCGCCGGTGTGTGCGGTGGCGGGTTAAGGAGGCCGTCGCTTTGAAAGTGGGAAGATAATGAACACCTGTATTATATCAGAGCGCCAAGCACGCTTTTGAGTTGTATGTGTGAGGAAGGCAGCTGCCGTAAATGACTTCTTGGGAACTTTACCCCATCCGCATTAGTACTCAAATCAAGGCACTATTGATAAAAGATCAGATCTGCATATGTCCACTGTGTTACAATGATCAGAGCTACCGGAAGCCACTCAGACATGATGATACACTGCAAGACATTGAACTTCAGTCTCTAAATATAAATCATCCACTGATGTGGCCCAGTGTTTAGAATCTGTGACGACCAACTTTTCAATGAGCGAGGGAATATAATCATTCAAAATCCACTTTTTTAGCCCTTAAATGCATTTTTTTGCATATTTGGAGTGTTACAAAGTACAGAAAAGATGAAATTATTCTCGCTTCGTTTATATCTTTATATTCTGTTTTGGTCATATTTTTCAACCTGTTCAGATTTTTCTGTTTTCTATGACGTTTTTTGAACTACTATTTGCAGCGGAACTGCCAAATAAGGACATTGACTACCGGCCCAACACTTCGAGCAATCCGCCATTATTATTTCTCGCTCCGATTTTGTAGTCCGAGCTCAATGATGCAGAAGTTACGAGAGGGCAAGTCAAAATGTTCGGTTGTTGGATGTAGTGACCTGAAGCACTTCAAGGATTCCCACTTTAACAACCTCCGCCATTATACAGAAGGGTTTGCCGATTGACTTCGTCTGAATGAGAGGTAAATTCCTCCTATCTTTGGAGACGACGAACAGAGCATTTCGATACGTTGTAAATATCGTTAATAAAAATAAAGTACTTTACTTTCTTAAAACACATGGTGGTCATGGTTTAGCAGTTCCTTTGTCTTTCTTTGTTTTTGTTTTGAAGTAACGTTACACGTCTGCAGTATTATTCTTCAGTTTCATCAATGGTCATTTAAGTTA